AAAATTGGGACAAAGTTTCTTATATCATGCTTGCTTTATTAATTTTTAAGTGGAACACATCAAAATTGAAAATATATCTGCAAAATTGATATGCTTGGTATTATGAATAAATCATTACGATTGATATTATTGTTAGTTTTTCCCAAGTAATAAATATCCCATTCTGTTGAACGAGAGTGTGAAACTCTTTTATTATTATTATTTTGAAATGTGTACTGTTCCCTTTCTCTGACAACAAAAATCTATGGGGAAAACAAAACATGGGCATAAAAAAACATAAGGATATAAGAAATAACAAGAAAGGAACATAAAAAATAAATTAAAAAAAAAAAAACTCATACCTAAAATTAGACTCTTGAAACACTACTAACTCATATCATAGGTCTTAGAGATCTTGCACGTAAAATTCAGAGAGACAATTTACATGTAAAAAAGGCAATTGGATTGATATAGTTCTTTTTTGTTTCTTTGTTTTTTTTTTTAATAGAACTGTTTCGTTCCTAAACCGACCAACATTAACTCTGTTTTGTTCTTCTTCTTCTTCTTCTTCTTCTTCTTCTTCTTCTTTTCTCATTGCATATGATTATAAATGATCGAATTTATGTACCGCTAATCCATTGCTGAACCCGGCGCTATGTTCAGTAAATTACCTCCAAGTAAATTTGTGGTTTTGTACCAGGTTGTGTTTGAGATTGATTTCACATCTTAACTTCAACTTTTGATGTCAGAATAAGAGTCCCTAAAAGCACACACCACAAAAGCCAAGAAGTTTGTATTACGACATTGTAGTGGAAGCTTGATATTGATATAAGATCATTCCGTTCAATGTTCGAACCACCTTGGAATTTCGTTCCCTGCCGGACAAGGACACACCAACTGTAGGAGACAAAAAAAAATGCTGCACCATAGAAAAGAGTCATCCTTTATTTCAATAGGATAAAGAATCAAGCATCTTCCTATTTTAATTAATAAAAGAAAATTATGTGTTTTGTATGAGGATTCGTGTTATAGTTCGAATCATGATTCGTAGCTCGTTATAGTGTTTTTTCTAAAAAAAATACACGTAAATCGAAAATAATTCTGAATCTATAAACTAAACGTCCAGTACGCATACCTGACGTTCTCGAGGTGCGAATCGCCTAGCCATGAGCAAAGCTCCAAGGTGAAAGTCAATTAGAAAACTACGTCGTTCCTTATTATCCAATTTCAAGCAATCACAGAACATTATTGAACGTCTAGCAGTAAGCTTTGTAGTATGATAATCATCCCAAAACTCTTGTGTGAGTACTCTCTTTAAAGTTTACGCCACCTCCAACGACTCGCATCCGCTTTGCATCATGAACTCTCAAACTCAATGCAAAAGCTCTAGTAAAGAACGAAGATTATTCTTGCAATTGTTTATGTAAAGGCCTTTCAGTTTGGAAAAACGTTTTATACTTGCAGGGATTTCTATTATCGCAGAGCCCGTGAGATTAACTGTCTAATCCATGTTCCTCCTAAATGAAGCGTACTTAAATATTTCATTGGTTTTGAGATTTCAGGAAAATATTCAAGATTTGGACAGTTAGAGAGATCGAGAAATTGAAGTCAAACCATATTACAGATGCTACTTGGAATATACTCGAGATTCCTCACTTATCCATGTCTTAACTTTTAATGCCATAGATATGACAAACGACAGCTACATTAGAATACGACAAAATTACTAACAACAACATCAATAATAATAATAATAATAATAATAATAACAATAATAACAACAACGACGAAGAAAATCAGCACAAAATGACATTAAAAAATATAAGATAATAATTAAGAAATACGATATCGAAGAAAAAGGATGATTTTCACAATAGCCATTAGCCACGTATAGCACACAGATGCACCTCTCAGAAGAAATGGACTTTGTGTCTGTCAAATACATATTCAATGAAGAAAATACCATTTAGATCCACTTGACATGATCACAAGACGACAATCAGATGAAACTTAGTGCTTCAAACTTCAATGGATTAAAATTATTTTTGTACCTTTTAGCGAAATATTTCATTGTCACCCCTATATTTTATGTTTTATTAGCACCCTGTACTTTATTAATATAAATACGGTACTTTTTCTTTTAAAGAAATATTTTTAAAACATACAATATTCAAACTGTCATTTTTATTAATTGAATAAAAAATTAATAGCTTTAAAAATATTTTCTGAAAATGTTTTTAAACTACTAGTGTGGTAATATTTTTTACTTTTATATATTTTTAACATAATATGGAATATTAAATGTGCAGTGGTATTCATAATTCTTTATCTCTGTCACCTCCGCATTAGTCCACCAGTGGCGTGCATCAAACAGATTAAGGTAAGAGCTCCCGAATTGAACATATATACATGAATGAGTTCAAATTATTGTTATATATTCCTTCATTTAAAAAAAAAAAGAAAGATTGTAGCTATACCTCCACCTAAAATTGAAATAATATTATAGAGTTCTCATTAAATAAGAAAAATGAGGAGAGAGAGGAAGGAGACAAATATCTCTTAAAGTACGTAAGTCTAATTTTTACTTTTTTTCTTAATTAATATACTTTTTAATCAAATAATTATATAAAAAAATAAGATATAAAAATTCATACTCATATAATATAATTTAAGAATAAGTGCGGCAATTTTCCAAAAAAGAAAAGAGACTTTGGCCACAGATGCCCAGAACCCTATATTTTTAGAATGTGGAGCTATGGAGATCTCCGATCTACCCCTTCCTTTGCAAGTTGCAACTTTATTTTATTTAATAGGTTTTTAGTTAATTATCTCCTGAACTTATCGTGATTTAGCAAATTATCTTTTAAATTCTTAATTTTGATAATTAATCTTCCAAACTTGTAAAATTGTTATAATGTGCTCATTTTACTAAATTTACTCAAAATTTTTAATTAGATTTAAGAGATTAAAATTAGAACAATTGAAAAATTTACATTACATTTAAGTTGGGATATTGACATTTTTCGTCGAATTTACTTTTTTGAAACTAATTTAAGCAATTATAGTTAAAATGGGTATATTATAACAATTTTATAAATTAAAAGAGCAACTTATTAAAATACCCTTATTTAATATTATTAAATCTATTTTTTTAACCAAAGTAAACAGTTTATCTAGCATGAGCATAAATGCCACCTACTTTCAATAAATTCATCCTTATCATCATTTATACCTTATCCAAACCAATTTCGACGGCGAACTAGCTAGAACCTCATAAAAGGGTTAATCAGTGTCGGCATGATCCTAAAACAACAAAGAAAACGAAATATTATATATATATATATATATCTCCAAACTTTGTGTGGGAGTGACAAATTGGTTGCAACTTGCCACTGTATTCATAAGAAAATTGGACAAATCTTATTAGTACTCCTTGAATTTTATCATTTATGTGAATTTATGTGAATATGTCTCTTAAATTTTAAAAACATATATTATGAATTATACTTTGTCTCTAATAATTTGTCTTTTTTATTTTTATATAATTTTATACATATTTAACGGTTAAAAAATATAACCTATTAGTATATTTACGTACCAAATTAAGTTTCTAATACTTTCGATTTTGATCCTTTTCTATGATTTTGAGTTTTCGTGGAGAGCTTTTTTTAATATATATATATATATATATGAATTATCTGTAGAAAATGTCATGCAACCCCATTCCTATTAAAAATATTTTCATTTTAATTTTACATGTGTTTGTAACCAGTTTTTGAAAAAAGAGTTGAAAAAAAAATACTTAAAAAATCACCGTTTGTTAAGCATTTTTTCTTTGTGAATGATAAGTTGTTTTCTTTGTGAATAAGAAAGATGTCCGTTTTTAAAAATAGTTTTTTTTAGCAAGTTTTTGAAAATAGTTAGTCAATGATGTATTGATCTGTTTTTTCATCACAAATTAACTAATATCAACTAGTCATTATTTAATTTTAATCATAATAAATTAATAATTTATGAAAAATGAATCAATTTATTAATGATAAATTATTGATATCATTATTTAGTCGCAGTAAAAAAAAGGTCATTTATCTAAAAAAATAATCATTAATTAAATAGAATGGTCAAAACTAATTGTCCATCTAATTTTTCTTTTATGGCTAATTTAGTTCATTAATTTGAGTTGAAATGTGACTTTATGTGAAAACTTTTTACTGTATTAAAAAAGTTAGATGTGACTGTTTCTGAGAGCTTTTTACTATAGTAAAACTCAAATTATAAACTCGAATTGGTGAAATAAACGGGATCTAATTTATATGAAATAATACACGCGTTAAAAGTTTACAAAGACAAATAAAATTAAAAGTTCTCTAAGATAAACAAATAAATTACTAATAGTTATTTATTTTCATGATTTAAATTATATCAAAAATTATTTATTTTATATTTTTTTAATTTAATATGATTTTAAAAACTGACACAATTAAGGCCTGTTTAGTTTATTAATTTGAGTTTTTAATTTGAGTTAAGACGTAATTTTATATAAAAATATTTTATTGTAATAAAAAAATTAAATATGATTATTTTTAAAAAAAAAATTATTATAATAAAATTTAAATTTTAAATTTAAATAAGTGAAATAAATAGGATATTAATAAAACTAGCTTATGAGATAAACTCCCGATAAAAATACTCATTAGTAATGGACAAAAGTTGTGACGTCTCAGGTTTGGATTCTCTTGCTGCAAAATAAAAAGCCAAAACTGCCACTCGAGTCAGGTGAGTTTCAACATTGAAAGAGATGAGAACCGTTCACTTTTTTATAAAAGTCTTTCGGTTTCTGCACTCCCTCACTGACAAACCTTCCATTCCATTTATGTCCTCTCTCTGCGCCCTGCCCATGGTTTTTCTTATGCTTTTTTATCACCCGCTGGGTTCCACTTACTTACAACTTACAACTTCTCTCATGATCGCATCAGATTCGTCTCGACTCTCTCACATCGCTCTCTCTCTCTCTCATCTTCTTCTTAATAATTATTAATTATCAATTATTGCTAACCAAAACTTGCTAATCCTCACTATTACGCAGTCATCATCAGCATCACAAGCAAATCCACAAGCAGCCCGATTCCTTCCTTCTGCCACGTGGAATCCGTTGCTGACGTCAGCGCTCGCAAAAACCAAGAAACGCCCTTGCTTTAAATTTTTCTCAAATTCCCGCTCCTAACAAATCCGCGACATTTCTTTTTTTTTTTTAATTTTTTGCTGCTAATCATCCGTCGACATTTCTTGCTCTCTCTCTCTCTCGCGATGAAAAAGAAGAGGGGCGATCCAGACCGTTCAATCCATTGCGACAACATTAGGTGGCGAGGTATGATGTCGCCACGTGGCATGATCATCCTCCTCTCGGCGGTGCAACACCGTGGCGTTGGTGCGCAGCCAAGCACCGAATTGCAGAACAGCTCGTACGGCTACCTCGCGAACTTCAACTCATCAATGGCGATCGTCATCGTCTTCCTCGTCTGCGCCTTCTTTCTCTTGGGATTCTTCTCCGTCTACCTCCGCCGCTGCGCCGAAACGCGCGTCGCCACCTCCACTGGAGCTCCGACAACAGCGAGAGCTAGTCGTCGCCGGCGGGGCCTTGATCCGGCGCTGATCGAGACTTTCCCGATCCTGGTATACTCCGCAATAAAGAGCCTCAAAGGCTCTCTAGAGTGCGCAGTTTGCCTGAGCGAGTTCGAGGATGGCGACACGCTGCGTTTGCTGCCGAAATGTGGCCACGTTTTCCATCCCGACTGCATCGAAGCCTGGCTTGCTTCTCACGTCACGTGTCCGGTTTGCCGATCGAAGCTTTCGGCTGAATCGACCGAAACTGCGACGTGTCGGCAACTAAACGACGAGGAATCGAATGTTCGAGAAGGTTCTTCTGAATCTGTGACGGATGGCGATCGCGCGGTTGTTATCAGCGTCGATGAAATTCAGGTAAATCGTCCGCCGAGGAGGTTGCCGAGGTCGCACTCGACGGGTCACTCGGTGAGTCGACTCGGACAGTGTACGGAGAGGTATACACTAAGGGAGCTGGCGATGAAGCGGTGCTCCAGCTACGACGTCGTTTTGCCGTGGGTCGGGACGGGTTCGGACCGGCAAACCGGGCGGTTCTTCTCCAGGGGTAACCGTTCCGTTAAGTCACCGAAGGGTGGTGGTGACGGAAGTGAAACGGAAGGGGAGTTTGTTGGAACGCCGCTGAGGTCTGTTAGCTTGCCGTTTGATTGTCGAGACGTGAAGGGTGAAAATAAAGCTGCTGAGGGATCGCCATCCCCAATACTTCTTGTTTGAGTTTTTCGCTTTCTTGTCTTTTCTGTTTTTCGTGGCTGCTATTTCGGATATTGATTCTACCAGTTTTGTAATTACTGTAAATAATAAGAAATTTTTTCTAATTTTACTAGAAGTTTAGAGTTTGCCCCAAATTTTATAAGATAATTAAAAAACAATTTTAAAAATACGATATTTGTCCGGCCCTAAAGGAATAAGGTCTGTATAGCTCTGTCTTAAGCCTTAAAAAATTTAAAATCGGGTCAGGTCAATAGTAACGGGTCTTGAACAGATTTATTTAACCCGGTCTAAATTTACAATTCTAGTGCGGAGTTTTGAGTAGTTTCGAGGTTATAACTTGTCATTCAGCATTCAACTACGTGTTAATTTTTTTCAAGAAAAAAAATGGAAAGCTTTGAGTGCGTTTAGAATTCGTTTTAAAATAATTTTATTTTTTGTATAAAAATAGAAATGAAAACGTTTTCAATTTCAGACAGAAATCATTTTTAAAAATGTCTTTAGTAATTTTATTAAGAGATTGTTTTCAATATAAAAAACTCATTAATGTATCTCTCTTTGCTCGAGATAGGAGAAAACGAAAATAAAAAAATGAAAAACAATTAAAAGTCGTTTTTTATTTCTTTCTCATTTTACACTAAATTAAAAAATTATTTTCATTTATGTTTTTTAGTTTTAATTATGTCAAACGTCATTTTAAAATCGTTTTCATTTTTTCTTATTCAAAAAACGTAAAAAATAAAAACAATAATAATTCCAAACACAACATAGTGTTTTTTTTTTAATGGTTTCCACCTGCAATACCTTTTTAGGATTTATCACCCTCCGTTTTTAACATTTTGAACCCATTTTATACAGTGTTTTGCTAAAAAAATTCGGACCCATGTCGATTTTTTATATATTTTTTCAGTAGTAATTTTAGGTACTATGGCATGTAATTACGTATGCTTAGCAGTTCTAGCTAATGTCTTTTCAATACATAACCAAAACCCAATTATAGATTATATCTCCTTTTAAATCTATGATCAACTGCCTATCTAAACACCATTTTAAACTTAAGTTCAAATCAGATTTTTAAAAAGTTTAAATCCCTATGTTTCGAACCAATCCAGATCAATTTTCTTTTAATCCAGATCAACAGCCTCTCTTTTCTCTTTTTTTATGATGAATTCGGGATGTTTCATTCTTGTAGATAAAATAACTGGATGCAAATTTTCTTATTTGACACATTCCCTAGAAAAAGAAAGAATTAATCGAAATAAAAACTAGTAATATAATGAACATCTTCAGATATAATCAATGACGGAGCTGGGGGCATAGCCCCTCCTAGTTTTTTTTTTTTTTTTTTTTTTTTTTTTTTTTTAGTTTTATTTTAATATAATAGTTATGTGTATAAATTAGATTTGACCCCTTCATAAGTTAATAGTTTTATGAAATTGTCACATTAAAGAAAGTCATTCCATCAAGAATCTTTTTAGAACTGGATGGAAACTACTATTTGACAGTCATATGATACCATGTACAAATGTCCATATTAAAGTGTCGCATAACTGCCACATAATATTTTACATCTTAAAATTTAAGGGGTAATTTCATAAAGGTATACCAAAACCTTATAGAACTTGGTGATATCAACGACATTACACCAATATATATGAATGACATTTCGTTTTCAAGGTAAACAACAGAATTTAAGATTGGATAGTCTACGAATGTTATGTCATGTACAAAAGGTTAGTGATGCAAATGGTTTTCATAAATATATTAATATTGCTTATAAAATGAAGATGGGCAATTGGACAAGAAAAGAGTATGTGTGTTGTCTCACATGGAAATTAGGTAGAGATATGAAATAGTTTATATACATGGAATGACTCAAGATCCAATAGATTAACTTTTTAAGTTAGGCTCATGAAGTGGGTTGGGCTAGTTTCACATGTGGTGTCTCCTCAACAAGTGGTATCAGAGTCGATGATTCGTTCGGGTCAAGCGATCACACTCGGTTGCAGTTACAGGTGTGGATAGTGGAGCATTTGGACTCGCATGGTTTCGGCTCTCTTTTCCATGCTCGAGTTGGCTCCCGTTTAGAGTGTGATGCTTGGATGTACCGGCTACTTGAAATTTTGGTTCAGAAGGAGCTCGGTGAACACACACATAAGGGGAGAATTGTTGAGAAAAGTGCATGTGTGTGTTGTCCCACATAGAAAGTGAGTGGAGATGTGAAATGATTTATGTACATTGAAGGACTTAAAAACCCCATAGGTTAATTTTTTGAGTCAAATTGAACTCGTAAAGTGTGTTAAATCAATTTCGTATGCAGTGTCTTCCTAATAAACAAAATATCTACTAAACTAGTTAGTATATAGGGCTCATTAGATTACATATTACATTCTGTAGCAGCATAAGAGATGATATTCAAATATAATTTCAAAAGAGTAATTAAAAGTATTGCTCATTAACTATATTTTACAACCTCAAGGCTCAAAGACTGATTTAATAGCATACTGTCATGAAGTATAAGCGTGCCCATTCGCTGCTGGTACTTATATTGTCGCACAAGTTTTTTTTTTTTTTTTTTTTTTTTTTTTTTCTTTTTCCCTGTACGTTGTCTATTTGGCGCTGCTGTTGATAAGCTCTTCTTACAATGAGTGATAAAATTATCATGTGTCACTTATTTAGTGAGAATTAAAAACGTAATTACGTTTGTACTCTCATAATCAGATAATTCTCCATTTTAATTAAAAAAATTCACCATCTTCATTCATATTTTGTTTCTTTTTTTTTATTACCTCGTTCATCCATGATAAATTTTTACAGTACAAACAGTGGTGGCAGCGGCTGGGTAAACGAAGAAATTCGTTTAATAATAGTTCAACAGAGCAGATTTAAAACCATATAAACTTTTAGGGGAAGAAGCAAACAAAAAGAAAGGTAAAAACGTCATAAGAATTAAAAAGGTAGGACTAAAAAGAGAAGTTTTTCTTTTAGAAGGACTAAAAAGAAAGAGATGGAGATTTTAACCATAACGAATCGTTTTAGTTGAAAAATGGGTGTACAGTACCAGTACCACTAACTGTAACAGCTATTCAGGTTTTAGATTCCAGTTTGAATTATTAATGCTTGAGCAAGAAAAAAATTATAATAGACCACACTTTTTCGTTTTCTCTCTCTCTCTCTCTCCTTTTTTTTTTTTGGCGACAAGAAAGCCTCACCTATTGGACTAACCTTCAAGTGGATGTGTTACCAACGGACAGATGTACAAGATATTTTTTAAGATAAAGCGACCTCATTATCATATAATATATGCCATATGAATAGATATATATCTCTCCTAATGTGACCTTAAATAATTAGAAATGGATGCTTGGCGGACACTTCTGGATATGTACTAAATTTGCGCGTGTGAGATTATTTTTCTCATAGTCAAATTTCAGATTCTTGTTGAACCCTATTTGCAGGAAAAGTTTGGTAACTGTTAGCCAGTGTCCATTTTGGATGCTTGGATAATTTAATGTATTAGCTGAAACATGCTACATTACCACTTACTTTAATAAAATGGAATTGTTCTTATTTTTCTTTTTCACGTTTTTTGAGAAAAAATAAAAATGATTTTAAAACAGCGTTTGATACAATTAAAGACAAAAAATGAAAATAAAAATAATTTTTTGGTTTATTATAAAATATGAGAGAAATGAAAAATAACTTTTAGTCGTTTTTCATTTTCTCCTCTCTCGAGCAGAGGAAGAGAGACATTAATGGAGTTTTTTATACTGAACATAATTTCTTGATAAAACTAACAAACGCATTTTTAAAAATGATTTCTGTCTGAGATTGAAAACGTTTTCATTTCTATTTTCATAAAAAAATAAAATTATTTTAGAACGAGTTTCAAACAATTTTAGTTTCCTTTGACATGCGTACAAAAAAAAAATGAATTTCTCACGGAAAAAAAAGGGCCAAAGTGAATCTGTAGGATCAGTAGTTCAAAAGGTAACATATATGATGTAATTATCTATTATAAGAAAAAGTTAAACAAAAACCAATCCTATTTAAGGCAAATTTTACGGTGAGACTAAAAATACTTCAACCGGTAGATCTTTATTTTTTAATTATTAGATTAATTTTTAACGATTAGATATGTATAAATTCGTATAAAAAATTTATAATTTACCACATAAAACTGTTCATACTGTAAATTTATTATTAAAAAATTAATCTAACGATAAAAAATAAGACTCCACCTATAGAAGTTTTTCTAAGGTTCCACTATAAAAGTTACCCCATATAAAACTTTAGAGGATTAAAAAGGTTTTTATTTTTCAACAGAAGAAATAAAAAAAAAGAAACAAAAAAAAAAAAAAAAAGAAAAAAAAAAAAAAAAAAAACAAAAAAAAAAAAAAAAACAGTTGAAACCAGCTCAATTGGTGTTTAATAAGTGCGTATATTCTTTTCAATGTATTGAGTCATGCGTTTAAGTAAATATTCTATTCGGATCATACATCTTACATTACATAACCATTTTATCTTTCAGATCGGTTTCTCGTAAGGCGGCCTTGACAAAAATTTATCTCGCAACGCGCAGTTGGACTGTAATTTCATGAATGGGGTAAAATTCCAAGCTTGATTCGGACGAAGACAAAATAATGCCTCAACGCATATCCATGATGTTGCGTAAAGATCTTGGATTTATTCAAGTTATTCTTGTACGACCACTAATAGGTTGTTGAAAGAGTCGAGGTGTGAAATGTTTAATTTGTTGGATAAAAAAGGGAGAAATAAACTTATCTAATCTTAAATAATGAAAACCCTTTGACAATCTAGAAAAAGAAAACCCTTTGACAATATTAAATGATTATTAGTTACACCCATCAATTCGTCAAAATCTTAAGTATTATTTCTTCCGGATTTCGTAAGATAGATATATACATACAAGACAAGTTCACAAAAAAAAAAAAAAAAAATCAATTTCACTTCTATCCGATTATCCCTAAACTTTATAATTGTTTTCATTTTACCCCATGGCCTTCAAAACTCCAACTTTACTTATTGAATTATTAGAATTTTTGTTAAAAATTTTAATGAAAAAAAAAAGAGAATGAGTCGAAAAAGAAGACCATATGACCATACTTAAATCTCTTCATTTTCGGTATGTTATTTTAAGAAAATCTTTAACAAGGATTAAACGGGAACTATCATGAAATTCATGGACAAAATAAAAAAAAACACTAAAGCTGAGGGGTCAGAATAATTCAAAAAATAATAAAAAAATAGAAGTGCCTAGACATTGACCATAATAGAGAGATAATATACCCTTGAGCAGAACCATTTCCATTATCATCTAGTCCGGAGGAAAGTCACCAAAACATTATTCATTTTCAGGCCACGTAAAAAACAGAGAGCTCACAAGAAATAAAATCATGGGTCGTCGAAAGACAATAAAACTGAGATACCTTGTCGGCGCAATCAAGGACAAGGCCTCCCAAGGCAAAGCCGCCATCCTCTCCAGACAGAACACGCTCTCCCTCCTACGCGCCACCACGCACGACCCCCACGCGCCACCGAACCCCAAGCACCTGGCTGCCGTTCTCTCCCTCGGTCGCTCCTCACGCGTCGCTGCCTCCGCCGCCGTGGAGGCCCTCATGGACCGTCTCCAGTCCACCGGCGACGCTTACGTGGCACTCAAATGCCTCGTCGCCGCCCACCACATGGCAAACCGCGGTGGCTTCATCCTCCAAGACCAGCTCTCCGTCTTCCCCACGTACGGCGGTCGGAACTACCTTAACCTCTCCAAATTCCGCGACTCCTCGTCTCACGTGACCTGGCAACTCTCCACGTGGGTCCGGTGGTACGGCGAGTACGTCGAGAATCTCCTCGTCGCCTCCCGAGTTCTCGGCTTCTTTCTTGGGGCCGAGAAATTGGGCGGAGATTTTGGGGAGGAGCGAGTCTCGGCCATCTTGAACGCCGAGTTGATTCGCGAGACGGAGTCGCTGGTGGGTTTGCTCGAGCAGATTTGCAAACAGCCCGAGATTTTGGTCGCGAGTGCTAATAAGCTAGTTGACGAGATCGTCCGCTTGGTCGGAGACGACTGTTTATCGGCGATAAATGAGATTTCGGCCCGAGTCACTGAGTTTGGGGAGCGGCTGAGTTGTCTGAGTTTCGTTGACTCAGTTGAGTTGGCTTGCGCGTTGAAGAGGCTTGAGGATTGCAAAGAGAGGCTTCAGTTATTGTATTTTGCAAAGAAGGACATGAATGATGGCTTTTGGAGTGTGGTTGGTGAGATTAAGGAGAGAGTTTGGATGGAGACAGAGGCGAAAGAAGGGAAGTTGGTCGTGAATATTAGGAAGGACAAAGGGACTGAGTCAGCTCGGTTTGGGGAGCGAGTTGTGAGGCCTGATGACTCGGTCCGATTTGGATCGGGAAGATTGGCGGTGAGTTATTGCAGATTCTCTAATGAGCCCATGGAATCGTGTGCTTGATAGATAAGTTTAAGGAAATTATGTTGTAAAAAAATATACATGTATACAGAATTCAGTTTTTTCCTGGGGAATTATTATCTGTTTTAATTTTTCTCCATAATTGATTGCGAATTGCGATTAACTTGAACTCTCTATTTTTTTTTTTTTTTTTTTTTTTTCAGAGAAATAACTTGGACTCTTAATTCTTTCGATCTGTTATTTGGTTTTTTCATTTATTTTTTGTTATTGTGGGGACCGTTTATCAATTATAGCAAAGTTTCTGTGCTCCAACTTCTCAGCAAAACGCCCCATCTTGTAACGAGTAAAAGTTCTTTTCTGGATAGAAAACTAGTTTCTTGCGAGTGCGAGAGTAGATGAACAAAAGTAGGATTCAGTAGTCTTCTCTAACGCAGAAAATTCCAAAAGGAGAAAAAAAAGGAAGGGATTTTAGTCTGGTAGGGCATTATGATATTTTAGGTTCTAATTTCTTTTTAGATTAATTCTTTTTCTGTTTGCAATTTTGGCACATTATTTTAAAAATTGTTAAGGGAATTATATAATTTAATGAAAATAATTATGTGTCCATTGTAAAAAGTTGAAATTTACCCCAAAAAATGGCATATTATTATTACAGTTTTCACCTTGTATTTTATTTTAACTATGATTTATGTTATAGATTTTAGAGATTATCAGATTACGAAATACCATGTCAAGGAAACGTTTGGCCGTCAATTCCCCCCAATTGTACAAACTCCACGCTAGAAGAAAAGGTAGTAGATACAATGGATTTTGAAAAATCATCAAATTAAACATTTACGGCGTTTTAAGAACGCATCATAAAACTGAGAGATTTTATGTGACTTTATGTGAGAATTTTTTATTGTAATAAAAAAGTTAGATGTGACCGTTTCTGAGAGTTTTTTATTGTAATAAAATTTGAATTCTAAACTCAAATCGTTGAAATGAACAAGATGATTGTACGTCAACTCTCATATTTGACTATGGTTTTTAACTGTCGTTTTAGGTGTTGATGGAATACCACGTAGCTTCTAGTTGCAATACTCTTGGTGACAGTTTTCTTTCCTTTTCTTTTCTTTCTTTTGTCAAGAAACTTGTTGGTACTAGGGGCGAATCTATACATTGAGCCCCAATTTAGCGCACTACAGGAGAAAGCCCTTTTACCAACGACAAGTCATGCTTTTTAGCGATGACTTTGTCATGACTAAAGTCTTAATCTTTAAAAGATATTGTTTAAAAATATTGTTTAAATTGTTTTTTTTATATAAATAGCCTAAAAAACTACAATGTTCAGCCAAACAAATATTTATCCATCATTTTGGATATTTTTATACAGATAAAAAAAGTAAGAATATCAACACATCACATATTCATAAATTGTGACATAATATAAAAATCCTAAACCAAAAAACCTAAATCAAGCTTTATCATATTCATTATAATCACCATAATCATACAACAAAATTCGTACATTAAATTAAAATAATATTTGACAAAAGCTAAATAACAATAAAAACAAAATCAAAACACCTTCTAATAAATAAACTAAATCTTAAACATTTTCACCTAATATAAAAATAGTTTGCATGCAGGAAAAAATATAATTTCCTCACAAGAAACTACATAGGTATTTTTCTTTAATCTTGGAAGCGTATAATAAATTAATTAACACCCAAGATAATGAACCATAATTGATAGCTGGGAGAACAGGCTGACACTATAATATATATATATATATATATATATATAAAACTAGGACAATTGTAGCAGGAGAGGCATTCTCATTGCTAAGAACATCAGTGAATGTGAATGTAAAAGAGTTAGTTTGAAGACCTGAATTTAATAAGTAGTATGCTCCATTAATAATGGTCCTCGGACGATCATTTATGGACCAAGAATTTGAAATATTTGTCTTCAAAGTGAAAAGTACTTTGTGTTCTGCTGCATTTTTATGACTTGACTAAATTGAGAATGAGTTAATTCCGCGAGCATCTCAGATATCAGGTGTACAAAACCTTTTGGATTGTTATTAGCCCCCTGAACCTTAATGTTATTCAAAGTTTGTCCTCAGAACCTTTTAAAACTCTCATTTTATCCCTTTAAATTTTGAATTGTTATCACTTAATCCATTCTATTGTATTATCTGTTAAAAATATATAAAAAAAGAATAGTGTAGTCACGTGATTTTTTTTGTTTGAATTTCTCTTAAAAACAAATAAATAAAAATTACATGCCCACACTTAGCCGTCTATTTTTTTGTCTGATTTTAACAGAAATTCTTATAAAATGATTTAAATGAGATAAATTTAAAATTTAAAAAATAAAGTGAAAACTTTTAAAATTTAAAAGATAAAATGAGAATGACTTTAAAAAATTTGATGGACCAGTTAGATTAATCTTAATTTTTACTTTTGGCCCCCTTTTCACAACGGGTAATTAGTCGCTACAAAGAGCGCAAGAAATAAATGTTAAGAGTCCGTTTGGTTGGAGGATTCGTTATCTGATTCGAATCATAGTTCATGATTCGTTACAGTATTTTCTCTCATAAAAAATACACGTAAATTAAAAATAATTTTAATCTCATGATTCTAATCTATAAACCAAACGGGCTTTTTGATAGATTCATCATCTGATGGCAATTGGCAATTGATAGAAGCGCAGCCAAACAAGAAAAACCCCACTTTATTGCGCAAGAATTCGACAACGTACGGAAGTTAATTCGTTCCAGCCGAGGTCAACGTATAATACAAGCATGTACGAGGATAACTAGTTAAATGCATGCCACACCATGTGACGTCCTACATGTCCACCATATTCAACTTCAAGATTAAAATATCAGACGACACAAAAAAAAAAAAAAAAAAAAAAAATCTTACACAGTTTTGACAATTGCGAAATCTTCTTCCAGGGTTTGCATCCTTCCATGCCGTCAATAAAGGAGTTGGCTTCCTACAATCGCACAAGACCTCTTGATTTCGCTTGAGTTGCTGCTCGTGTTGCTACTTATCTCTCCCAAATCCCTAGTTCTTTTCCCCCAAAAATGTTCCCAATTTCAAATGTATTTTGGTTCATCATCTGTATATGGGACTTATTCTATGGAAAAGACTAACCATGCCCTCAATAAAACCTCACGTGCGTATCATGTGGGAAATTCCCTCTATTATTTGAACTCCGTTTTCAATTAGACCGTAATTATAAGAAATTTTAAAGTTTAATGGGTAAATTATTAAGATTAAAAGTTAATGGATTAAATTGTCAAAATCGCAAATTTAAGAGTCTCCGTGTAAAATAGTCAAATTTTTACTAGTGATGATGCACGTCTTTTGGATATGCACGCGGTAAACAAATCTTATATATATTTTTTATTTGAATTCAAATATTCTTATGTTTTGTATACTGTTAGTTTATTTTTATTTTTAAGAATATTTGAAATATCTTTTAGCCATTTATAATTAAAAATGACTGCCCACATAAAATATGAATCTGTTTTTTTTTTCTTTTTTGAGATAAAGACCTATCGTATGAATTTTAGTAAAAAGAAAATTGATAAAAAAAAAAAAGACAATAAAACTAAGATGAATAAATTTTGGCTTTGAAAAGAGGGAGAGAAAAAAAAAAAAGTCATTCCTTATCAATTTGGATATGAAAATTTTGGTTGATTTGAAATTAAAACTTAAATTTTATAAAATTAGTTGTATTTCATATTTATATTGATGAATCTGAAAAAATAGTTGGGATAAAATTAAATGGACCACCTTGGGCCAATGGGGGCACAGCACCCAACTAGGCCAACTTCACTGTTCACAACTTGGCATTATGGCCGAGGACCACCTTGACATGCGGCGTCATCGACTGCAAACTGGTCCCTGCTGGTGTCCTCTCGGATGCGATTGTTTGACTTCTTCCTGACGGCCTTTTCTTCTTCAGTTGTTAGTTTTCCTTTTTGTAGTCTGTGTCATAGTCTGTTTTCAGTTGTATTTCGTCTTCCAAGAGCTCTAGTCTCTTATTATATTAGGTTTTTTCTCTCACCGTAAGCGTTGTTTTAAATCTTGTTTATTTTAGAGATTTAAGTTTATAATTTAAATTTTATTATAATAATTAAAAAATGATCATATTTAATTTTTTTATTATAATAAAATTTTTTTATATAAAATCACATCTAAATTTAAATTAAAAACTCAAATCAACAAACTAAACGGGTTAAGCTTAATTCGGCTAGTTTGGTTTCTTTCTTTTATTGTAGGCGCCGGGCCTTTATACTGACTCTTTATTGTTGAATTAATCTAAAAAAATACAAAAAACTAATAAAAATAATAAAAATAAAAGAAGCTACTTATCAGCTCAAAAATTGAGATTAGGATTTTCTCTAATTTATACATTTAGTCTCACAAAGCAGAGTTCAATGATATTGCAAAGCTATCCAAATAGAGGAAGAAACATCATTGAAAGGTGTTATGTTCAGAAAATGTAAGTAACAATTTTCACGTTAATTTTCACGTTAATTCTCAATATTTTATATGGGCCACATATTTAAATAACAATTATATTACGCTATTTAATAAATGAGTTAATTAAGTTGTCTAATTAGGAGATCCTGAAAAAACTTTTAATAGGATATGGAATAAATGAGTGGATACCTAATATTTATCTAATAAGATTTAATGGGAGTCTAATGAGATAAGTATATAAGGATTTATAAGTTATGATCTTTAATATGTTAAATCACTCGGTCACTTTCTCTTATATTCTATCTAAAGAGAAACACTCTATTGAGGAATTCAGGTGATTTGATTGAGGAAGACAATAACTGATTCATCAATCGTCGTAGATTTTCCATAAAAGGTGTTGATTGTCAGTACTATAGATTCATGTACGCTTTCTCAATTTTTCTTGGTAATTTGGCATGATAGTTCTTGAGATTTATGAATATGATGATTAAAATTATATTTATAATTAAAGTCTAACAAGTGGTATGAGAGTGATCATCATGCTAAATTATTGAGATAAATTTCTTTCTCCAATTTTTTTACAAAAGTTGATGTTGTTTTCGGCCATAAGGAATGTCGGCCATAAAGATTTCTTTATTGATATATATTAATCTCGGTCATGCATCAATTTTGCTCTTTTTTTTAAGAGAGAGAGATATATATATATATATATATATATATATATATATGTAATTAAGAATTTTGGATTCAGTTTCGATATATCTATAAATACATATTGTTTTGTTGAATATTGCTTGAAGTCCGGTTCAATATATATGTTAATGAACGAATTCACAGTTTATATATAGTTTTGTTGTTTTGGCCATACAGCACTGATTTCGTTCAATATCGTTGATATATTTATGGATTCAGAGGAATATATGTACATATATGCTTCGGATTAATATAGACTTAAGGTATTCATCTCGTTATGGGTTTTTTTTATCAAAATATATTGAAATAAAATAATTTTGGATTTATTATTATTTTTTTTTCAAAACTAAAGAATCATCCTTGTTGACTTGAGGAACTAAAGTTTGTGGCCGGCAGCATAAGGCATCCAACGTCGGCATCAAGAATTTCCAGTCGCGGCATCTGGTTGCGCCGGAGAAGGAGAGTCGCGGCTTTCAGGCCGCGGCAGCAGGACATCCGGCGGCCGGCCGGTTTGCCGCCTAAGGAAATATTAAAAAAAAAAGGTTAGAGATTTGGTTGGCGGCAGCCCCAGCTGCCGTCAGCATCGGAATATCCCGGTTTGGGCCGTCTGACCGTGCCGGTGTCGGATTTCCGCTGCTGAACGCTACAGCGGTATGAAATCGGTGGCCGCCAGGCCGCCAAGGAAAGTTTGGGTCGCGACCCTTAGGGTTTGGAGCAGCTCTGTGCTTCAGCCTAGAGCTGCCAATCAGCAACACGAGCCCAATTGGTCCCGTGACTTGAGAAGCAATCTGCGGGCTTGACCCGCAACTGATGGGGTTGAGTGAGCCACTTTTGTGGCTGAATAAGAAAAAAATTGCCATTTTTTTTTGGCAATTTTGGGAATTCAAAACCCAATTCTGGTAATTTTGGGCATTTTAGGTATTTTTATCTCATTAAGGAATTAAAGTTCAATTTAATTAAAGAAATTAAATATTTGATTAAATAAAATAAAATTTTGGTTTTTTATTTTTATTTTATTTATTATTTTACTCCAATTTTTGCACTAATTAGTCTTATATTTTCAAATAAATTAATTGAAATAATATGTTGTCAAAATAACCTCATCCATATTCAATCTATATCATTATAAATAGGCATGTTTGAGATCACATTACATGTAATTTTCATGCTACTCATTTATATTTGATCTATGTCATTGAATATGTTGATATGATGACCATAGAAGGTTTAGTTACGTTTGTGTGTGATGAAAGCCGCCATGATTTCATATTGATGTAGGAGAGAGACCAAATTGTACTTAAAGTGGAGTCTAAGGATAAATAACATACAAAATGTGCACTTAAGGAACATATGATATAATTATTTCATGAATCATGTGTAGCCAAAGTGAGAGATTGTTAGGATTTTTAAGTTAATTCTCAATATTTTATGTGGGCCACATATTTATATAACAATTATATTATGCTATTTAATAAATGGGATAAAACAGTGATTTAATTAGGAGAGCCCAATAAAACTTGTAATATGATATGAGATAAATGAGTGAATACTCAATATTTATCCGATAAAGTTGAATGATAACCTAATAGGATAAGTACATAAGGACTTATAGGTTATAGTCTTTAATATGTCAAATCATTTGGCCGCTTTTTCTTCTATCACATCTAGAGAGAAACACCCGATTAAGGAACTCGTGATTTAACTGAGAAAGACAATAACCGGTTCGTCAATCGTCGTAGATCTTCCGTAAAAAGGTGTTAATTATCGCTACCATAGATTCATGTACGCTTTCTCAATTTTTTTTAGTAATTTAGCATGATGGTTCTTGGGATTTATAAACATGATGATTAAAATTATATTTATAATTAAAGTCTAACAAAACCATGGAATTAGGATATATTACCGTCTAGTTAAATCTTTTTGGAGACAAATTCATAGCTGTCAAATTCCAATGCCGAGATCTCCATCGTTTAAAGCAGCACAACATTTAGGTGACGCTAGTTATTGCTTTTCTTTGATATGCAGAAAATTATACATTCCAACTGCTTAATAAGACTAGCTGTCCACTTATAAATCTGAAAAATGTGTTAAATCATGGAGAAGTTTGTAGTTCGGAAGAAGATTGCAGGACCAACGTCTATACGCCTATCGAAATTATTAGATATTCAAATCTAATCTTATTATTGTCCCGTATAATCACATTATATAAAGTACCTTCATTTTATTGACTCTTTCTCAACAGTCTAGATTAAGACCATCCTTTAATGATGGAAGCAAATCATATTAGTAGTAGTTAATTAAAGATCGCAATTTTAATTATAAATTAGGATAATTTAAATGATCATCCTTTAATATTGTTATCTCATATATAACACTAATATATAATATATAATTTATTTATTTTGGCTAAAAATACAATATATGAATTTACTTAAATAATTAAGAAATTTTATGATATTTATAAAGCATCAAATATGGATATAAATATATATATATATATATATCTATTAATAAAAAACCTTTATATTTATTTAAATAGTAATAAAGTCTCTAGCTTATAGGGCATCAACACCAACAATAAGTGCCTCTTTTGGTTAGGGACGTCCCATGTCTAGCTAATTTGTTTGCTATCTCTCTCTCTTCCCCCTTTAATCACACACTACTTGCAGCCATATCATAAAGAATCTTGGTAGGTGATATCAGAGAGCAAAAAGACTTGATCACAAATTGGAATTTGTAAATTATTTCAAATTCGATTGGCATAGAGAAAATTGAATAATACAAATATATGGCACATTACCAATCAAATTACACATAAATTTTCATGTCAGGTCATTAAGGTTATATGTTACGCTTCTTGTTTTATTTCTGCCCACTTCTCTGCATTCCTGGTTGCTTTCTCTGCCTGTAAATTTATCCAAAATTAACAGAAAAATGTTAATCATTTGAGTTTATCATGAAGAAGAAGAATTAAGAACAATAAATGACGTCTAGAGGAATATGTACCTCCTTTTCCCAATCACATCGAGCGGTGATGATAATCAAGATCAAGGTCTGAACTGCTGTCCCACCAAAGATCATGCCAGCCCAAATTCCCTAATTGTGTGAATTTTCATAAGACCTTTAATTTACTAAAAATATTTGAACAGTTCAAGCAAGAAAAAAAAAAAAAAAAAAGAAGAAAAAAGATTCAAACACGACTACGAAGAGACTATGTTTTAGATTTTGTGTCCCGATTTAACCGAGGTCTTTCATTTTATTTTTTCCTTATTGTCAAGGGATTTTCTTCGATAATAACTATTTTTTCACTATCAATATTTAGTCAATAGATTAATATTTTAATGGTTTGATTTGTGATTGAGAGAAGTTCTATGTTGCATGCTATAAATTTTTATTGTGAGCACTCACTCTCATTCATTTCGTTAATTTGAGTTTTTAAATTGAGTAAAAAAGTAAATTTATGTGAGAGAAAATACTATAACACAAAAAATTATATTTAAATTTGTATGAGAGAAAATATTTTAATAAAAACTTCAATTGTGATATGAACTAATATAACGAATGAGACCAATTGTTACCAATAGTAAAAAATTTTCTATTGCCAATTATAATCCTCCTTTAACAAGACAATACTACTTACCATAACTCCTTGGTGGAATCCCCATCCCATCAAAAACCCAAGAGGCACACCAATGAGATAATAGCAACCCAAGTTTATGTATGCAACATAGGATTGCCACCCAGATCCCACAGCAACTCCTGTTAGCCAAAGTTTTTGTTGCAAATTAATAAATATTTGGAGGATATAAAACTAATTATAGGGTTATTTCCAAACAATTAAGAAAATGTGTAAAAATAATATGCTCAGAAGGAAAGTGTTACCAGAGAGTACAGGCTGAACACTGTTGAGCAGAATAGTGAAGGCTAATAGAAGAGAGAGTTTGTTTACTGCTTCAAGGACGGCTTTACTTGAGGTGAATATCAAGGCCATCTCATTGTGGAATGTCATGATCAAACACCAGAAGAAGAGTCCAATTACAATTGATGTCATTACTGACACTTTAGTGGCAAACTTGGCCCCTTTGCCATTACCTGCTCCGAGCTCATTTGCAACCCTTACTCTGCATATATGTCACCATCACAAGCGTTAGAAAACTATAATAGCAACTTATAAAACAAATGTGCGGTTTATACGAAAATGAAAACGTTTTTAATCTCAAACAAAAATTATTTTTAAAAATGAGTTTAGTGATTTTATCAAAAAATTATTTTAAGTATAAAAAAATCATTAATGTTTTTTTTTTTTTTTTGCTCGAGAGAGGAGAAACAAAAATAAAAAATGAAAAACGATTAAAAGTCATTTTTTATTTTTCCCATATTTTACACTAAACTAAAAAATTATTTTCATTTTCATTTTTTATTTTTATTGCTTTAAACGCCGTTTTAAACATATTTTCATTTTTTTCTCAAAAAACGTGAAAAATAAAAATGAGATCAATTCTAAACACGGCCTACATGTTTCTGACCGGTTAAAATCACACCAAAATATGCATGCAGAATAAAGTAGATGTGTGGTTTATGGATTCAGAATCATAATTCAAAATTATTCTCAATTTACGTGTATTTTTTATAAAAAAAAATATTATAACGAATTACAAATCATAATTTAGAATCATGATACGAATCCATCAACTAAATGCATAAAAAATAATTCTGATATAAATTTAACTGTTGCAAAACAAAAACTTATTGATAGCTCTTTTTTTAAAACCGTACTATAAAAATCTTCTATGGGCCCGTTCATTTCACTGATTCGAGTTTAGAATTTGAGTTTTATTACAGTAAAAAAACTCTCAGAAACAGTTACATTTGATAACTCTTTTTTTAAAACCGTACTATAAAAATCTTCTTGGGCCTGTTCATTTCACTTATTCGAGTTTAAAATTTGAGTTTCATTACAGTAAAAAAACTCTCAGAAATAGTTACATTTAATTTTTTTATTACAGTAAAAATTTTTTATATAAAATCACATCTCAATTTAAATTAAAAACTTAAATCAGCGAACTAACGGACCCTATCTTTACACGAGGCTAGAGCTTTATTCAGGTTGCCCAGCATTAGCAGTTCGAATAATGACAGATCGGGGCGAAGCTGGATTGACAGCCTTATATACCTCCAAATATTTTCTTTTCATTTTTGGAGGAGCCATAAAAGTAAAAATAGTACACAATTATTTATTTCAAGTGTCAAAAGACCATCATGCAATTTCCAGAAATGTCACTACCAAAAATTGAATGAGTCCTACAATTAGTTGGAAGAAATTATTGTCATTGTATAAAAGTATGGTTACGTTTCTGAATTTGTCACCTTGCCAAAAAATAATAGTAAAAATAAAATAAAATAAACAACAGTTCCAAGTTACCAACCCAACAAGAAGATTAGGAGTCGTTTTTATGTTCCCACATTATTCAATGTGACAAGAAATAAACAATGAGAAGACCACTAATGGCAATATGGCTTGGACAAATTTAAATGGGAAATTTTCTTTCATTTGACAAAGCCCTCACCAATAGTGGTCTGGAACAAAAAGACAAACAGATGATCACGTTCTTGGGTTACTGTTTAGACTTTTCATTGTTGTGGATATTAATTATTGGAAGCGTACAGAAAGTCTTAATATAAGTACTAGTTCATCTTCAGCCAAATATTTGACACTAACCTGAAACGACCCCATAATATAGTGTCCATTTAATTTGTTAATTTAAAATTTTAATTTAAATTAAGATGTGATTTTATATGAAAATTTTTTATTGTAGTAAAAAATTAAATGTGATTATTTTTAAGAATTTTTTAAATTTTAAATTTAAATCGGTGAAATGAACAAAATTTAAATTAATTAAACGACTTGAGTTTGGTGCAACCTCCGTTTTTATGTGCTAGCTTCAGCTCTAAGATTTGACTACCTATGAAAATAAATATTTTGACTTCATCTATATATATATATAGATATATATATATATATATATATTCGACAAGCATAAAACAAATTGACGAATCGTTCAACAGGTGTCTGTTTTGAGAAGAAACTTAGGAGACGTTTGGTTCATGGATTAGAATTATGAGATTAGAACCATTTTCGATTTACGTGTATTTTTTGTGAGAGAAAACACTGTAGTGAACTATGAACCATAATTCGAATCAGGATACGAATCCTCCAACCAAACAACCCCTTAAAAGACCAAGTGGACAAGCATATTAATTATTGAAGATATGTGGATGTATTAATTTCTCAATAAAGAGAAAAACTCATAATATTAAAGCCACATGATACATTCCACAGTTTAAGGATGTGCAGTCTTTTTTATGTGTATGTATATTTATAATGTACGTACACAAATTTCTATTAACATATCACAACTAAATTAGCATCATTAACAAGCTCATTCTCGGGGAAAAAAACGAAAATTTGATCTCCCTGACTCAAATTATTTCTTTTCATCAAGTGTCAGGTGATAAAAAGAAATTATTTGAGCTTCTTTTTTTTTTAGAAAATTTTTTTGGTGTTCCTTCATTTTTTGGAACATTGGTGTTTCTTATTTATTAACCGTTAGATTTGTATTACATTTTTAATCTAATTTGATTTTTGACCAGATTTAATACACATCTGACAGCTGATAAATAAAAAACACTAGAGAAAGTCTCTTTTTTTAAAAAGACTAAGGTCTTTTTTTCCTTAACGATTGATAATAACGACATTCTCCGGTGTTCTCTCATTTTTGAAAACACATGTGTTTAATGCTTTTTAGCTGTCAGATTTGTATTAACATATGTCTGTTTTGTATACTTTTTTAATTTAGTATGATTTTGACTAGATCTAACGGTTAAAAAAACAGAAAACGCTAGAAAAACTCCCTTAATAATAATCTCTTTTATCCGTTAGTGGATATTTGTTTTTTTTTTTTGTTGATAGAAATCTTAGTAGATTTTTGTTGCGTGATATTGAATCTTATATTTTTAGAATGTACATCATTTTCACGTAATATTTTCACAATTGACGTATGAATTGACTTTTTTTCATGACACATGAATGACATATGAATGACTAGCACGAGGCCTATCACATATATATGTCGGACTTGTGACATACGGCTGTGCTCAACATCACTTGTGAGTTGTGAGTAATACTATTTTGAAAAGAATATACTATTGACACAAAAGCTTATAGCATATCTATCTAGATCCTGCGGTGCCAGTCGCTTTCCCACCACAAGCTGGGCTTCTTGAAAAATGAAAGTGAACCTTAGTTTTTGAAATAATGCAAAATTGATTATGTATGCCATGACGACTGTGTGAATTAACTTGAGGCTAGGGCAAGATTCCAAACGGGCTGATTATGTTTGGACATCGATCTTTTTGGTTCTGATTCTCCTTCCTATCACTCGCTAGATTTTCAAATTTAAAAATGGGAAAAAAAAAAACACAAAGAAAGTGACGCGCCGTGAAAAAAAATGAAAATGAAAATAAAATAATGTTTATGTTTTTAAGTACAATCACGGAACATCCATTCAAACGAAACAATTGTTTTCCCGATAGCAGAAGAGAAACAATTTTAGTAGCTAGTTTAGCTATTTGTTCTTAAGTAAGGCACAAGACATGTAACTTAAAATATGTTTATGAATTTCAGCAAAAGATTAATTAATAAAGAAAAATTCTTAAGAGGCAAAAGTGATGCTAAGCACAACAACTAATAGAATATGAGTTTAATCGAAGGATCCCATGAAATAGGGCAGACATTCTATTATTATTTGGTGCTCAATTACGGGTGTAATTTCCTATGATTGTTCAGTAGTAAATTCAGCTTCTAGAGCTTCTTTGGTTGGAAAGAAAACTGAAAAAAGGAGAAGGACTAGAGGACTATGGTTATTGACAAGAAAAAGGAAAAGTGCTCCTCATCCTTGCTATTTGCCTCACCTAGGTCCCTCTACCTAAATAGAACCTTAGATCCTGTTTATTTCACTAATTTAAGTTTAAAATGTGCGTTTTGTTATAGTAAAAACTCTCAGAAACAGTCACGTCTAACCTTTTTGTTATAGTAAAAAGTTCTCACATAAAGTCATATCTCAACTCAAATTAAAAAATTAAATTAGTGAACTAAACGAGCTTTTAATATAACTGGACTCTTTGTAATTTAATTAACCTAACATGCTAACTAGTACTAGTCATGATCTCAAGCTTAAATTATAAGGTTAAGAAAATGTTAATAGATAGTTGTAACAGTCAAGGATCATGCAATTCAGCATGGTTCCCACCTTGGAAATTAATGGTGAAATGACAAACATAAAGGCCAAAATTAAATTTCCAAAAAAAAAGAGAGAAAAAACAAAAATAAACACGGCAAGAGGAATTTACCCGGTTCCAGCAAAGAATGCAAGAGGAATCATCATCTCCCACCCGTTAATCGTCATGCTACATGACAAAGAAGGCATAGTCCACGCCCAATAAAAATTAATATTTATTGAAAAATACAATATGGAGAAGTGTACAAGTAGAAAACGGAACCTCAAGAAAAAAAAAAAAAAAAAAAAAAAAAAAAATTTTTAGGGAAAAAAAAGGGGCAAAAAAAAAAAAAAAAAAAGCAAGATTTTTAGTGAAATGAATCGGGACATACCATATAGATAAAGCGTCCAAAGCAATCTCTGCGTTCTTCAGATTTCCAGTCATCAAAATGAGTATTCTATAGTACCAATTTTCCAGGCTGCGTCGTCGTTGAAAATGAGTACATTAGAACAGAAAAAAAAAAAAAAGCAAATCAAAAGTAGTTAAGCCTTACTATTCCTATTAGTGGTATGTGTCTTAACTTTAGCATTAACTTTTTGTTTCTGAATTTAGGTGGAAGAAATAGAATTTATAGGTTTTCAATTAGTAATGGAAATTATATTTTAAATAATTAGCATGACAAAATAATATTTGAACTTTTTTGATGAGCAATAAAATGGTAAAAAGTTATTTATCTTATCGGAATTTTGCTTTAATTTTTTCTGGCTGAGCTCTAAACCAAGCACTTCAAAAAGTTATTCAAACACTTCAAAAGAAAAAAAAAAAAAAAAAAGAAAGGACCCATAAAAGCTAAAACCAACTTTTATTGATCAATGAAAATTGCCTATGTGTGTGTTTGTGCGTATTTTAGATGGCAGATTACATAATTATTAATTATTTACTATTCATAGATATTCACAAAAGATAACTTTTTAATTCAAATAATTTTCTAGAAAAAGAATATAAGAGAAATTTATGGCAAAATAAGAAAATGTCCCATTTTTAAAGTACAAAATGTTTGGTATCCGCATATTGTTTGGTGAATCACGTTTACAATAACATTAGGCAAACAAAAAAAATCACTTTTAGAAAGTACTATGTTTTCTTATCTACATACCTAAATTATTTTCAGCTAAGAAAAAAGGAGGAAAAAAAGTTGCCGAAATAATTTTGATTTAAGTTAGAGACGTACCATAGCATTACCCCAGAAGAAGCGGATAGCTTAGTAAACTCCCAGAGGCCAGAAAAGGCCTCATGAGAGAAACCAGCCCAAGTCAAAGGACACCCACCACAAACAGTGTACCCATAAAGACCAAACACCAAAACCCACCACGAGAAGTTCAAGGTAATTGCGGTGCCAACGACGCCAAGCTTGAACTGGGACACAAACAGCCAGCTGACGAGCATGTGCACGGCCAAGGCCGCCAGCGAGACCCAGGCGATGACGCCTGTCTTGAGCTGGCTCTGCAGGAACCGCTGAAGGGGGAACTGGAAGGCGAAGCTGAAGTGTAAGGGGATCATGCAGACCGCCACCACGCCCGACAGCTCCGCCACGTCGGTCGGCTGCCCGAGCAGCTTCAGCATCGGCGACGCGAAGAGATAAAGAGGCAACAGAAAGATGCAGCAGATGAAGAGTACTATCCATGAACGCTGCATATACACTCCCAACATGTAGTACTTCTTCGCCCCGAATGCTTGCCCACATAGGGTTTCCAGCGCGCTTGCCATTCCGAGCTGGTCCCTCGAAAAAGAACATACTTTAAAAAATATTTTAATTAACGTGATATTAATTATTTACACATGTGTGTCGAATCTTGCTTAGTTAATAACGTTTATGCAAAAAAAAAAAAAAAAGATTTTGACATAAGAGTAGAAAGAAATGTTATCAACAAAAGAAAAACATGTGCTAAAAAATGGTAAATATAGAACATTTGTGTTTTCTCTCTTTTGACCGGAAGAAAAGTGTGCATTTATTTGTGACAAAACGTGGTACTATTTTCTCGGCAATAAATGCTTGACAAATTATTTCAATAATTTTCCACTTTTCAGGAACGGAACAGAAAAGGTAAAAAGGATTATTTACCAAAAGACCGAAGTCGAAGCCGACGATGACGTTATTGGAGATGGAGATGGCGGCTAGTTCGAGGTCTCCTAGGTGGCCGGCGAAGGCTTGGGTGATGACGAGCATGGAGTATGAGGCGATTCGGCTGAAGATGGCTGGGCCCACTATGTGCCATAGCTTCTTTGATTCAATCCAGACCCTCCGTGTAAGACCTAGTTCTTGATCATCATCACGACCACTTAGTTGTACTATTCCATCTTCTTTTGATGAATATTGGTCTTCCAACAGTGGGACCTTTGCTTCATTTACTACGCCGTTGCTGCTGGGCATTTCTTTCTGGTTTCCCGTTTACACCTTTCAAGTTTTGTCTGGATATTCAAGACTCTACAAGAGAGAGAGAGAGAGAGAGAGATTGTTGTGAAGAGATTGCCTTCTAATTTATAATTTATAAAGGGTGTGAGGACGTAGCGTTGTTAAGGCCCCACCTCAAGAAATGGCCCCTATTAAATTTTAATTTATTTATTTTTATTTTCAGTGTTATTTGGAAGTGCAACTCGGTTAAATTTTCACTATTCACATATTAAGACTCGTTTATTTCGTCGATTTGAGTTTATAATTTAAATTTTGTTACAGTAAAAAGCTCTCAGAAACAATCACATTTAACTTTTTTGCTATAATAAAAAGCTCTCACATAAAGTCACATCTTAACTCGAATTAAAAACTCGAATAAATGAACTAAACGGGCCCTAATGGGTAGATAAAACTCAACTTAGAGACTCATTATTTTATGAGTGATCAGGTTTTATCTCGATAAAGATAAATATTATACTTTTAAGCGGTGCACAATATTAAGCAAAAACGATTTAGATGATCCGTTTAGCTTGATGTTATAAATGATGTGTCTAACTAATTATATTTCATTTTAAATGTTAAAAGATAAAAAAATAAAAAAAATTTTAAATTTTCATTAATAAAAAAAATTTAAATTTTTCATTAATGTAATATGATTTGATTAGTTGGATATTAAAATTAAACTAGTAATTTGACTCCAAATTAACCAACCTCCAATATTAAAGCCTTCTCTATTGGTATATATTTTTCTTAGTCTAAGGCTTAATTGTTTTGGTAATTTCTTAATAATGTTTTTTCCTATTTTGTCGATTACCTTAAGAAAATGGCATATGTAACAAAAGTATTTGACACGTCTCTACTCACGTCTCTACATCTCAAACTTGCGTTATTTGTTTTTTTGTTGTTGTTGTTGTTTTTTTTCTTTCTTTGCTTGAACTTACGTTATGTGTACATATATGAGCTGTCTTATTCTCAATCTTCTTATCTTCATCTTTCCTTCTTTCGAAAGGGTATAATTGTTTATGGATTAATTTTAAAAATTTCCCATAAACTATGATAGTTATAACATTTTGCTCCCCGAGTTTTGAAAGGAAACATTTGTTTTTTCTAAACTTTGTTCCATAATAAATTTTCTCCTTCTGTTATAATAAGTGACGAAATTCACCACGTGTCAGGCACATGATCCATCTGAGAAGGGTGTCATCGTAAATTAACCTGCAACAACCATTTCAAGCATTAAAGAAAGAAAACCCAGTTAATCAACATGACTCATTTGATGGGCTGCAGCATAATCTTCGGTGTTGGATTAGAACCTGATGGAGCGAGAAGAGTAATCTTAGGAGGTGGGGGTGCATTCCTGGAAGGTATTGATGCTGATGGAGGAGGTGATTCTTCAGGGGAAATAGATGTTGGTGAAGGTGGAGGAGAACTTGTGGGCGGAACAAATTTTGGTAGTGGGGGTAGAGGGGGTGAACTTTGCTGTGGCAAAGATGCCGGGGGCGAAGGTGAACTCTCAGGTGCCGTTGGCGATGGTGGTGGAGGCGAATTTTCTGATGGTTTTGGCGATGGTGGAGGTGGGGAATTCGCAGGTGGGTTGGATAACGACAGTGGAGGTGAACTCACTGGCAGAGTTGAACTAGGTGGTGGTGTTGAACTCACTGGTGGAGTAGAACTAGGTTGTGGTGGTGATGGTGGAGGTGAAGTTTTTGTGCAAAGTTATGATTGTACGAAGATGGGGAACAAAATGAGGGGAAAAAAATGGAGAAAGAAGATGGTGAATTTTTTTTAAAAAAATGGAGAATTATATGATTATGAAGGTATAAGCATAATTGTGCTTTCAATTCTCACTAAATAAGTGGTACATGGTGATTTCGTCACTCATTATAACAGAATGAGAAAACTTGTTAACGGAATAAAATTTAGGAAGAACGGATGCTACTTTTTAAAATTCGCGGGACAAAGTGTTATAAGAGTCATAGTTCAGGGGAAGTTTTTCAAATTAATCCATTGTTTATTTGTTACTAGCTAATTCAAATATTTTAACTGCTGTTTTTTTTTTTTTTTTTTTTTTTTTTTTTTTTTTTATTTTCTCTTTTTCACTATACTTTTTCCCTCCTCAATGGGAACTTTTTCGTTTTCTTTCTTTTAGAGGAAGTTAATGATCATTAATGGTCATTTTTGTTTTCTTTCTTTTAGAGGAAGTTAATGATCATTGCCTGAGTTCGCAAAAAGAAACAGCGTCATGTGATAATATATATAGATTGGTGACAAGAAAAAGTAAAATTTACTACGAACTCTATAGAATATAGTATTGTGTCTCTATCACAACCGACTTCAATATTTTTTTTTCATTTTGGTTGGAGATATTAAATTTATAGACCTCAACGTAAATGTTTGCTTTGAGAGAAATCACTGTGTTTTTAGTTTAAATAAAAACTTTTTTATAAAATGTTTAAATTTAAAAAGTTTTGTTACAGAATTTTCTCTCACAAAATTTAAATTCTGATTTGAATCTTCAAACCAAACAAGACTATATATGATATGTTGGACTTGTTTTGGTCTTGCCGACTCAATTTGAATTTGCTTCAACTTATCTGGCGTTATTTATTTAGGGAGTAAGTTGCATAGCATTTTTATAAGAATAAATGGTTAGATGTTTATAAAAAGATTTACGTACCCAAATCTACCGCTTTACAAAATTTCACAAATTCTAAGTTTACCAAATTTACTCTTTGTATGCGGGATCATTGTACCATCAACTAAAAAATTACAGATTTTACATTTTTAAGTACCTAATTTATTAAAAGTATTTTTTTTAAAAAAATTTTACCTCGTAACTAATTTTATTTTAAAAAATAAAAATATATAAGTTAATGTTAAGAGACCGAAATAAAAAGAGCTCCGTTTTAAGAATATTTTTAAAAATTGCTCCAAAAAAATTCATGAGTAACTTGGGCTAAAATTCTGAACTCAAATTAGCATGTATCCAATACATTGGAAACCATTGTGTTACCTCGACATTTGGTATTGCTCTGCTTTCCTTTTTTTTTTTTTTTTTGGTTGCTGATTTCCTTGATTGGGCCAGCCAGTCCTTCTCCATTGCTTCCTCATCGTTTTGGGGAACACCAATTGGAGTTTTGTTGCTCTACTTATAATGATTCAAGAATTGCTCTCCGTTCCTTTTTTTTTTTTGACAGATTTTGATACGATTATCTCCTTTCCTATGGATCTGGCCCAAGCCCAACCACCCGAGGCTGCTGAGGAGATACCTTCCGCTGAGACCACAGAAGAGCCCAAGGAGAAGGAACCTCCTGGAAGGCCCACACACCCCATCAAGAAGCCAGCGTGGCTTAACGACTTTGTTTGAGGTCGTAGTGAATGTTGAATAATTCTATTGAGTTTATTGCCAGTCTGTATTAGCTACTTCAATTTGGTTTCTGTTACTCTTCTCCTGACCTAGGGAGTGACAAAGTTGGTTAGGAGGTTATGCTTGGCTCACGCCTTTTAAGTAGAGGAATGTAACGATGAGAACTATCAAAACAATTACTAAGAAATTTTCTTCCAATCTTGATTCTATCGCTTTTCTCAATCTTATTCCTTCTGGAGTTCACACCTGCTCGAAAGGTGAAATTCGACCCTTAACATTGGTGCTTTCATTTCGATTCTCAATTCCCGTCTCCATGGATTCCTCCGACATTCCTCCGATCTCCAAGCAGCACCTGGATACGCTGTCCGATTCCGTCCACATCCGTCTCCATGGATTCATCCGACACTCCTCCGATCTCCAAGCAGCACCTGGATACGCTGTCCGATTCCGTCCACAACACTCTTCAGCAATTCATGGTCGCGGTTGATTCTAAGATGGCCAACCTTCGGACAGAACTTTGGCACTCCACCCCAGTCCTCGGCGGCTCGTCATCAACGGTGACACCGCCCCTGGATTTGCACCGCTGACTCACCGTCCAGACAATTTGCCCCTACGTTCCATGAAGTTGGAAGCCCCTCGTTTCGATGGGTCTGACCCAACGGATTGGATGTTCCGTATTGAGGCCTTTTTCGATTATCACAGCACGCCGGAGGAAGCCTGTTTACAGATCGTTGCATTCCACTTGGAGGATCGCGCTGCGACTTGGTTCTAGTGGGCCAGGCGGAATGGCCTGTTACCGACTTGGAAGGTTTTTCTAGAGGCCGTTAAAACACCGTTTTGGCCCTACAGCGTTCGAGGATTCGGAAGGCAACCTCTCGAAGCTCACTCAGACGGGTTCGGTCACCGAATTTCAGGCGCAGTTCGAGGCATTGTTGAACAAAGTTTTCGGTATCTTTGAACCTCTTCTCATTAGTTTTTTTATCACTGGCCTACAGCCGGATATTCACAGGGAACTCCAATTCCATCGGCCAACGACTCTCATGGAGGCTTTCTTCATGGCCCGCGCCTATGCCGCGCGATCTGAGGACGTTTCTTCACAGGCAAAGAAAGGGTACTGCGGGTTCTCGGCCCATGGTTATGGCACTCCGTCAGGCCCAAACCAGTTTCTGGCCTCGCTAGGCCCACCTTCACACTCTCACCAGGGCTTCTCTCGGCCCAGCCCCGCGTTCACTGGGCCTTCCCCAAAACCTACCTCGCCTCCGTCCCTGCCTCCTTCCAAATTGTCGCCTCTGTTACAAACACCAGCATTAGCTGTTCGTGTCAACGCGCCAAACGCGAACGAGTTATGCAACAAACGCGAATGCAGGCTTTGCTATAACTGTGATGAAAAGTTCGGTCCCAACCATCGGTGCCGGAGCAAATATTTATTGCTCCTTGGTTATGACGAAGAAGGCGAAGAGCTGGGCGAGCCAGGGGATGACTCCGACACACTAGATGAGGAAATAGCCGGTGACATCTCCACTCTACATGCTCTGTCGTGTCAACATAAGGGTCGCTCGTTGCGAGTTTTTGGCTCGTACGATTCTCACCAATTTCAAGTGTTAATCGACAGTGGGAGTAGTCATAACTTCATCAAGCTTGCGCTGGTAGAACGCTTACAGTTATCAGTAACCTCCATTTCCCGATTCTGAGTTTCGACGAGTAATGGCGCTTCTCTGGTGTGTCAATACCACTGTCCGGCAACCACCTTAGTTATTCAGGGAATTGATTTCACGG